CCCGCCCCGCGCCAGAGCCCACCGGGCCCCGCTTCAGAGGGGCGGCGGAGAGGGGGCGCCCGGGCCGGCCTGGAGAGGGCGTGGGGGGCGCGAAGGGGTTAACCTCGGGGCTGGACCGCGGGGCGAGCCGCCGGTGCCGATGGGGCCCTGGCTGCCCCGGGATGCAGCCGGGAATCTTCGGGAGGCCCCGGGGCGGCACAGCCTTCCACGCCCTGTGGTCGACTCTCTGCCCGGAAGGAGCCACCAAGATTTGGGGTGCCTCGTTTTCCCCATGGCCCCAAAGGTTGCTTTCGCAGTTTGATTGACCCGGGGCGGGGGGGCGGCTTGCCGGTGTTCTGACTTTTAGACTCAAGTCACTAAGAAGCAGCCTAAGGTTACTGGTGCAAAGAAAACTCGAAATAACTCGCCAGGACCATACTTGTACCTGCCTTTGAGTGACATCTTTTGCACGAATCCGCCTCAGCCTGGCTGACACTACTAACGCACCCTGTCAGAGCGGTATCTTAGGGGTCGTTTGTGATAATCCCGTAGTGGAAAGAAAGAGCAAAACGCACGCTTTTAGAGAGATAAGAGTGTAGAGTTGAACTCTTATTCCCTCTCCCCACTCCCCCAAATACAATTGGTCTGGATAAAAATCGGCATGTGGTATTATTTGTCAGGCTTGCTGTGGACCGCTGATGTGTTGACTTCTAAGCCCTAGAAGTTATTGCGCGTTTTTATATCATCTCAGTGGGCTGTTGTATTAAATATGTATTAAATAAGGGAAAATGAAACAAAGTAGCTGTTGGAAAACTGGTGGCCGGTAAATCGTAACCCTTTCAAGGCAATTGGTATTTCTTGCCCTTTTGGAAATGGAGTCGGTTTTAGTAACTATTGGAATTAACGGGTGTCGCAGAATTTGAGACTCGATAACTTAAAAAAAAAAAAAATGAGATCTTCCAGGAAGCAGCAGTTTTGTTAAACTTTTGGCCCTTTAGTTTGCTCTACAACTTTCCGCTTTAAACTTTTGTTCACTTGTACATCTGCGGTTTAAAGTAACTCAGCATAGTTCTTTGCACAAAAGAAGGGCTTAGTAGCGGTTGAATGTTTTACAAGGGCGCAATTCAAAGATTTCTTTCCTTAAGAGATTTGGTGTTTGCCTTTTTCTCACCTTAAATTTTATTTTTAAATTAAGCTTTGCTCTTATTTAAAATTTTTTTTTTAAAATTTATTATTTTTGGCTGCGTTGGGTCTTTGTTGCTGCGCACGGGCTTTCTCTAGTTGTGGCGAGCGGGGGCTACTCTTCGTTGCGGTGCGCACGCTTCTCATGGCGGTGGCTCCTCTTGTTACGGAGCACGGGCTCTAAGTGCGCGGGCTTCAGTAGTTGTGGTGAGCGGGCTCAGTAGCTGTGGCGCACGGGCTTAGTTGCTCCGGGGCATGTGGGATCTTACCGGACCAGGGCTCGAACCCGTGTTCTCTGCATTGGCAGGTGGATTCGGATTCTTAACCACTGCGTCACCAGGGAAGTCCCCACTTCCATTATCAGAAGCACCAATCGCAATGCAAAGTGAAATGTTAATGAGTGGTGATAATAGGTAAAAGTGATTGTAATTTCATTTACTTTCCTAAATGTCCTAGTATTTATGTTTTATACAGCAGTATTGCCTATACCCATCTTTAGAAAATTGGGGTGGCAACAGTTAACTGAACATAATGCAGGGGACATGGGTTCGAGCCCTGATCCGGGAAGATCCCACATGCCATGGAGCAACTAAGCCCGTGCGCCACAGCTACTGAGTCCGCGTGCCACAACTGTGGAAGCCCCCGTGCCTAGAGCCCATGCTCCGCAACAAGAGAAGCCACTGCAGTGAGAAGCCCACACGCCCGCGCGCCGCAACTAGAGAAAACACAGCAACAAAGACCCAATGCAGCCAAAAATAAAATAAATAAATTTGTAAAAAAAAAAAAAAGTATGATTAAAGTGCTTTTAAGTTGTAGCATGCAGAAGGTAGGAAAGGAAATAGTATGAGTTCTCATATTTTTCTTTCTTTTCTTTTCATAATTTTCTTTTCAGAAGAATAGTAATGAAAACAAGTAATGAAATCATATGTGATAGGATTTAATAATTGGATCCTGCTTGAGTCAGGCTAAGCATTTTAATAATTTTGTTTTATTCAGTTACCTGCTGTCCTGAAGGTCCTGCCATAGTCACGGCCATTCATTAATTCAACAAATATTGGTTGGGCTCTCGCCCTCTGCTAAGCACTGTTATTTGTTATTATGCGTGTTACTTGTTTATTATTGGGGATATCAATCACAGATTAACAGTAAGGGTCCTATTTTCTTTTTTCTTTTATTAAGTTTTTATAAGGGTCCTATTTTAAAATTGGATTTTTTTTTTTTTTGGCGGTACGCGGGCCTCTCACTGTTGTGGCCTCTCCCGTTGTGGAGCACAGGCTCCGGAACCTCAGGCTCAGCGGCCATGGCTCACGGGCCCAGCCGCTCCGTGGCATGTGGGATTTTCCCCGGACCAGGGCACGAACCTGTGTCTCCTGCATCGGCAGGCGGACTCTCAACCACTGCGCCACCAGGGAAGCCCAAATTGGATTTTTAAGGTTACAATTTAAAACATTTATATAGTTTATAGCCTATTTCCATACCATTGATTGAACCCTTTTCCCTGGATTGACATGAAACAGTGCAAAACTTAGAAACTTTTCTAATGCCAGTAGTTTTCAACACATTTTAATAAATACAGCGAACTTTGACAGTTGAAGTCAAAGTACATCTCTGACATTTGTTGGCATGAGGGAACTGATTTAAATGATTTGGGGTAATTAATTTGAACTGACCAATTCTGCCATAAACCAGAAGAGATTTTTTTTTTTGCGGTACGCGGGCCTCTCACTGTTGTGGCCTCTCCCGTTGCGGAGCACAGGCTCCGGACGCGCAGGCTCAGCGGCCATGGCTCACGGGCCCAGCCGCTCCGCGGCGTGTGGGATCTTCCGGGACCGGGGCACGAACCCATGTCCCCTGCATCGGCAGGCGGACTCTCAACCACTGCACCACCAGGGAAGCCCCAGAAGAGATTTTTGTGATCATTGCAGTCATTTATAGTGAAAACTCTACAATAATGCTTTGTACGCCCTATTTGGACATCGTGTGGCTGCTCTGTCCTGCTCCTGTGCAGCGGGCTCACCCTCATCTTTTCACTGCCTCACATACAGCATTGTGGTGCCCACATTTTACACTGTGGAATTTCTTGGATCCAGTTTACAGCATATGGTGGAGTGTTGCTGTGTCGCTGAATATCTTTGTAACTGAAAGCTGTATTAGTAGTTCTCCAAAGAGATACATTTTTATTGGAGTTTCATAGTGAGCAACTGAAGTAAATAAAATTATTTGAAATAACGGGATATTTGGAGATACCAGTTTTCCTTTGCATCGTGACAGCAAAATCTTGAAACATGTCCTAAGACTAGATAAGCCATTTAAAGCTTGTGCGATGATGGTCGCCTCAGTGGTTTTACACAGGAGCAGTGGAGATGAGCCTTATCCAGGGCCTCACCCTCACCCTCTGGAGCTTGTCTTGTGGGGACCAGTGTCCTGAAATGAGCAAATCGTAAGTGGACCGCCTCATTCCAAATTCCTCTCTAGAGCAACAGTTAGGACGTATATTCGAGAGCTTTTTTATGTGGAACTGAAGTGATTTGAATAGTGGTTTGCATAGGAAAACTTAAAGGAGAAAAGAATTCCAAAGCTTAATGATTATTTAATGCCAGGCCTAGTGGCACATTTACTTTGTGCTGTGTTCAGAATATAATATTGAAGTAATTGAGAAAAGTTATATCGTCTCTGCTTGAATTATAGTTCATCAAGGTTATTTTTTGTTTGTTCCTGTGTTTTTACAAATTTCAGACAGGCAAGTACTTGCTGTTAATGGATCTGGTTTTTCAAGTGGCACATTAAGGGTGGTTGCTGAGGACACTTCTCACTGATATACAAAATACGAGAACAGTGGGACGCACTTGCTTTTGAATTTGTAATTACGCTATTACAGTTATCTTTACTGCCACACATGCAAGAATCACTGTGGCACAAGACAGATAAATCTGTATGCGGTGGAATTTACTGGCCTTGGGCCACTGGATTACTGTCATTTGTCACTAGTCTACTTCTGCAGTGTAGATGTTCATTTCCAAAGACTTACATGTGCTTGGACTGCAGTTTTCCTGTTGATTGAAGTGATCTCCCAATAGGTCTTTCTGTGAGCGTTTCTGTCAGTGCAGTCTGTACTGAGAACAATAGGCAAAATAAAGGTAGCCTGTGGGGTAGGTTTATAGTACTAGTTGTTTCAAGAATCAGAAATGGTAGAATCTATCGTAAATCTAGATGTGGAGTCTTCAGAGTGTAGACTTTTCATGAGTGGGCTACTTTCTGACTGTTTAAAAGCTCCGCAGATATGACCCCATTTTCAGCAG